CCAAGAGAGAGATTAGAGTCCCTGCCTGCCCTCAAGTGGCTGAAAATCAGTTTACTGCAGGTTTAAACTCCTGTTCCATAGTACTGGGCCCAGTTGCAACAAAACACCTTAAGATTTCCTTAAAGTGTGGTTACGGTTTCCTTAAAATAAAAGCAATTTGCACAAAACACCCTATAAGTTTCAATCCTTATAAGTTTCTTAAAATGTTCAACATGAAGTTTTCTCCTTAACTTTAGTCTTAATATAAGGAATCAATTAGAGTCAGTTAAAACCCTTGTGGCACAGAAAGACCTTAGTGACCAAAAAGAGTAAGGAGAAAAACTAAAGGGTATCTCTGACTCTTCTTAAAGCAACATGACAAGAGTTGTCAGCAGCCGCTGTCACAGAGAAGGTGGAACATGTGTTGGAGCCCTGACAGGTGTGAAGGGTTGAACAAGATGTGGTGAATGTGTTTGTCTCGACTGTGCCTCTTCTTTCTCCCCTGCTGAGCGTACAGTTTACAGTGGTGTGTGTGTGTGTGTGTGTGTGTGTCGTAGCAGGAAGGGTAACGTAGGATGGTGATGAGGTAGACACCACTGGATTTGCCAAGGAGAGGTCGACATGCTGACAAACAAAAGAAGCAAACATTTTGATCAGCTGAGACGGACACTGACAAGGTAGACTGATGCTGCTCAGACCCCTCTTGAATACACACAGGGTCACAACCACCTACGAACTGAAACCACACACCTCACACTGATCCATGTATCGAATACCTGATAACCTGACGTATTTAACGCTTCCCGCATTAAGATACCACAGCAGCAGAAGTGAAAAGCACAGGGATAGTCACTCATCTCACCCACTACTCTCAGGTGGGGTGTGATAGCAGCTGCGACAGGGAGCGTTCGAGACGCTCAACATGTGAAACAGCCGAAATTGATCATCTAGTTACTTCACAATTATAAATACACTGACAGAGTTTGTGAGATTTTATTCTGAAAGGGATTAATCAGAGACCAGCTTCTGGAGGGCAGTCAGTAATTAAACTATATAAACTTAAAGGACAAGGAGTCCAGTGCAGCCAGACCAAACGTGACTGTCCCCACTAACAAAGACCTGGACCTGCTCACACTCGGCACCACCAGATAGATCTGTTCCTTTCACATGTCCTTAATCTCATCACACACACACACACTCACTCACTCACTCACACACAAACACACACACACACAGCACCACTCACTCACGACACACACACACACACACACACACAACACACTGTCCTGCTGCCCAAACAAATATTCACTGGCAAGCACCCACCCATGCATAGCAGATTAATCCGCCACTGAAAGTAGTCCCAACAGATGCAACATATTTAAAAATTTTATTTTAATAATTTATTCAATAAAAACTACAGTGAGCAACTGTCTCCGATGGAATATAGATATAAGAATATATATGTGTTGAGCTTGCAGATTTACTGTGTGGTTCAGTAAAGAACAACAGGCTTAGCTGAGAAGCACAGATCGGGGGGGGGGGACATCAAGCACAGATGGAATAGAGCGTTGGTCTTGGGTACAATGCTCTGATTACATTTTAACAGTCCGTAGTAATGTGCAGTTGAGTCTATAGTACAGTTTATGTAGGTATACATCCTAGCTCAGTGACGTGTAAGTTTTTATTTTCGTGTTTTGGGCTGGCGTCCTGCAGTTCTGACCGTTCCGACGCTTGTTTCCACTTCGTCTCTATGGTTAACACACATAAATATGATTTTTTAGGCATTTAACCACAAAAAGCGGCCCGGTCGCATTTTTTTCTACATTTTTGCCATCGAATCAAACAAGAATAACGATATTTTCAAGTCAATCACAATTGTTAAGACATTCCACACCCTGTCCAGGAAATGAGCACGTTCTCAAGTGTCTAAGTAATCATTTTACACCAAGAAAAGCCAAGTATCAGTCAAAAATGTGTTTTCCTAAGCAGACCCACTAACATGTCTATGTTAATGTTTTATCTTTATATTCAAAACTACAATTTAATTTAGTGGCTAGTGTTTTGAACTGAAACCAACCTTTTTTTTGGGAAGAAGAATAAATGCATCTGGCATAAACGAGTAGAAGATGTTTCTTACCACCCACCGCCAACCCACCCACGTTGCAAAGGGTGTGATCCACTTCGGGTCAGCAGGTGTCCTCCATGGAGGGTCCATTCCAAGCGTGTTGTCAGCAGGTTGAAATTTTGCAAGGAGTTTTCCGCAGGTTGTCTCTTCAGTGTAAAGTTTTCCAAGCGTTTTGTTTTTCCAGAGGAGCTTTTTTCTTGTTTCCGGGGAGGGTTTTTTCCGCAAAGAGTTCAACTTTACAACAGACAGGTTTTTCTGCATCGGGTTAACTCCGGTCAAGTTTCCAGACAAATGAGAAGAGTGGACATGGGGAGTCGGCAGCTCTGACTTCAACCCTAGCGTGCTCGGCAAGCGTCACCATTTCTGTTTGCCATCACTTATTACAGACGTGCGTGTGCGAGAGACAATAGACAATAATATAGTTAATGGATGATAATCTGTTGGATGTACCTGTGTGAAGCTCAGCGCGAACGGGAGTAATTAAGGTTCACATTAGGCAAACAACCGAAATTCTGAAAATCAGACGATAATAATAAGAATAAACTCGCATTTTCATGAGAATTAAAAATGGTTCAATTTTTCGAGGGAAAAACATTTTTTTTTAGGAATATTACATCAAACCAATCAAAAGCAAGGTTGAAAGGACCGAAATGAATGAATTGTAGAATAAAGAATAGGACCAGGACCTGAACCTGAACTACACTGGTAACACACAGTAAAAACTGTTCACTTGTACTCTACACACACTGCTCCATGGCAACATGATCAACAACATGAACTACTGATTAACATGGGTGAAAATAATTGGGAGAATTGTGGTTAAATTATTAACAGCTTCCTCTCTGTGTCTGTCTCTCACTCCTGTTCTTCATCACCCTCTTGTTCTCCTCCTCTCCTCCTCGCTCCTCCTCTCAATCACAAAGTCAATGAACCAAACAGGACGAAGAAAAATAACCCAAGAAGGAGATTCTGGCCAACTGGAACATGTTTGTGGGCAGCAGGCCATCACTAACTAACGAAGAGGAAATTTAACGAAGAGACCACGATGAACTTTGACGAGCCTTGATGGTCCAATGTGTTGGGTTTATATTTCAGCCCGTACCACAGGGGTTTATGGATAGGAGGGAGGGAAGGGAGGGAAGGGGGGTGAAGGTTCTGACTGTGTGGTGACACCAGAATCAAAAGGGTGGAGTTCATGGACCTTGTTAACACACACACAACTACACACACACACACACACACAAACACACACACTACACACATGCCGCACTACCACATCACTACACACACACTTCAGTATCAGCACATAACTGTGTATGTGAATAAATCATTACGCTGTTGGTGGATCGAGAGTCACCACACAGAGAGAGAACTGACAGTCACAGGCAGGCGGGACCATTTGTATCTACATGTTCTGTTACAATGTCTAACTGATGTGCCCTGTCACACAACTGTGTTTCCAGACGTCACTCTGAGGAATGATGTCACAGCTTTGACATGAGGAAGCCAGCTGTTTTTATATTAAAGCGCAGCAGTCCAGTGGAGACAACATGTTTTAACCTGAAGACATGGTCACATGGTTCGACAGCAAGGTGTTTGCTGTCTGGACCATACAGTTTAGAAGAGGAGGAGATTTGGAGACCTAAAGGGGGCTTGTTTACTGGACCTTTATTTGTGTGACTCTTAAATAAAGTTTTTTTTTCTACAAATGTTAGTTTTCATTCTGCTTTG